CGTGAATACATGTGTGAGACATGTACCGCTGTGTTAGGTTTACCTCGAGGATAGTTAAGTGTCCTAAGGTAGGGTGCAAAATCCATATTGGGTGATACCAAAATCTATCGTATGAATAGTGAGGAAACCTATAGGGTTAGAGGGCTGATAGAGGTAGTTAGAACCAGATGGTTTAAATAGGTACCCCCTAGTTTGGGGTGCAGGTACGGCAGATAGTGTAGAACCTTCGGGCGGACTACTTAAATAGGCACTCAAAAGATGCATGTGTAGCTTGATATACCATCGTTGTAATTACATATAAAACTTCATCTATACTCTAATAAAAAGTTCTCCAGACCAAAGAGGTCATTTTAATACCAAAAAAAAAAAAAAAAAAACAATAGCAGGGATGAATAAAATATAATAGTGAATAAATTGGATGGTAAAATTCTTTAAATCTTTTATTGAAAACCTTAATTGCATATTGCTTAAATAGATTTATTGAAAATTGCTATCCCAAGTTTGTTGAGGTAATTAAAACAATCAGCTAAATTTGCTGAATTGCTTTCTAATATATCTATAACCTCTTTAATTGGTATTCAAAGAACCTTAACTTGCTGACAGTTTATAAAAATTCTTCATCAGTTAATAACCTAAAAATTTTAGTATTGGAAATAAGGTTTCAATACTCTAATAATATCTTTATTATAAAAAAAAAACTTGTAATTTATTATATTATTTATATAAAATAATAAAAACTTAATTTATTTACTCAGTCAAATATGGGTCTAGTATATAATATAAAATTAGTAGTAAAAAATAATGAAGCCCATCAAGTTTGACACTATTTATGAAGCCCTTCAAGTCAATTTTCATCTTATTTAAACTTTGTTTTAGATATAAATTTGCTTGATGTGATTCCTTAAAAAATTTGACCACTTTATTACATTTATTAATTAGATCTTTAATATTATTGTCTTTGACTAAATCAGATACAATTAGATTAATTGCATGTGCTGTGCATGTATATTTCAAATATAGAAAAACATTTCTTGAATTTTTTTTCGGGAATAATGACAATTAGATCCTGCATCTGTAACCACTGCGCAAATTTCTCACTTCCAATATCTTCAATTAAATTAGATATTTCTGATGATAAAAACTCCACTGTAATTATTTCTGATGAATAATTTTTTAATTTTAGAAGATACTCTTTTCTGTCTACTATAGATACTATGTAGTTATAAAGAGAGTCTGCATGTGGAGATGTCCAACTATCTAACACTAAAATAAATTAATAATTATTAATATTAACAAATGCAAAATTTTAAATATATAAATTAATATATAATGCATACTTAATGTTAAATTATTGCTATGCTTAAGTTCCTCATTAACCAAATTGGTTACTCATGCTACTTCAGTATCCAAAAGCTGTCCTGAAAGCATAGATCGTGATGGTGGATCATATTTTAATTTTTTAAATAAATCCTTTATGAAAGAATTTCAATCACATTAAATGGAATTCCAGCCATTACCCATGCCTTTAATAATGATTGATCAATTTGGCATTTTTATTCTAAAAGAATACAGTTTGCATCTTGTAAATTAACTGTTCGACCATGAATTGTATTTGCTTCTTCAATTAATTTTTGGTGCCAATAATTACTAGTATTTTCAGGACAATGTTCACAATGGTTGACCAAATGTGCTTTCATAACTTGTGGTTTTCCACGTTCCCAACCAGTTGTACAATAATAACAATTCGCTCTATAATGTCCATTATCCCTGCTAGATCCTTTTATCAAAAATGACCATATCTCATCGAAGCTAGGACTACAAGTTCTTTGCCTCTTATTTGAATGTGTTAAGCTAGAAGCAGAGATATTGTTACTAGAAATAGAGAGATCGTTCATGCTTTCTTTTTCAAGACTTGTCATTTTTGAATTTGAATTACAACAGATAAAAAAAATAACTATTTATTTTTAAATAAAGCAATTACGTATCATGTATAGTTTATTAAGCTCATTATTAATTTATCAGCTATGTACAGAAGGCAAGTACATAGTTTAATTACATAATTATGATTTATTGCATGATAAACTGCATACTACTATATTTACAACTTTCCATTATAATTACGACTTACACCCGGGGCTACTACCTACGTCATTACTACTAAAAAGTTGCAACTTTCCCAAAATCGGTCATAATTAATACAACTGCATCACTACATAAAAGAAAAGTTTCCTCAGCCCATTTATTTTCTATAAGCAGCTTTATCTTAACAAAAATAAAAAATAATTCATTAAAAGAAGTTTACAAGTATATGTTAACTGTATGTTTATCAAAATATAATTTGTATATGTTTAAATCCACACTACAGCACACAATATTTGGAACTTTAATATATACTAACAATACATCTACGTAGATGAATTAATGAGCTATAAAAACAGCATTAATAATATTGTAAAAGGTTTATCTACTATAATTGAGCTATAATGAAGTGGAGATAATAAATTTTGATTTTGGTTATCTCCTATAAAAATTTTAAATAATCAGAAACAACCACAAATCTAAACTAATTAATAATTTATTGCATTGAAATCTTTTAAATGCAATATCATAAAAGAATTTGTATACCCTAAACAAAAGATGCAAGAAATAATGCTATAAGAGAAAAATCAGGTTCAATAATGCCTAGAGAATAACCAAATCGGTACAAACAGTAAAACAATAACGAGAATCAATTCAAAATGACAACAGACTAATAAGTTTGTTATTTTGCGATTGGTAAAAATTTGGCATAATGTATAAATTATAGACAGTCAACTTTCAATAAGCACATCCTCTATAAATGCACTCTTAGTGACTTTCTCTCCTTAAGTGGTTAAAATTCAAATTCCAAGTAATATTTGTATTTATAATACACATTAACATGCTTTAGCATTAGATTCTCCATAAGTGCATTTTCTCCAGATGAATGCGCGTATGGGTTGTTGAGCATTCTGTTTTTTTTTTTTAGTTTAAAAAAAATATTTAATTTTGCCATTTTTTTGAGAAAGGATA